AAAAAAAAGCTCAAACTTTTTCAAAGCATCCCAAGATGGCGTAAGAAAAAAAAAAAAAAAAAAAAAGTGAAGAGAATTCGCTACAAACTTTTTTTTTTTTTTTTTCAATCCCTTTATTTTATAGTCGCTACAATTTTGGTTAAGTTTTAATACCTTTTTGCATTGGTAAAAGGAAGATGATAAAAAACCCAACGTTAAAACTTTTAACGTTAGGTTTTTTTTACTATCTTCCTTTTACAATATCGTAATAAAATTAGATTAATGAATTTCGTTAAAGATTTTCAATTTAATAAAAAATTGCGATTGACTGGAATTAATAAAGATCCTATTTTTATTGCTACTTATATCTCGGTACCTTCCAATATTCGTTAAAAAAAGAAGATACATGACAAAAAAAAAAAAAAAAAAAAAAAAAAAAAAGATTCCAAACTTAGTAAAAGTAAAATCGTATCGTCAAAATCTTTATGTTATTATTAAGAGGGAAGACCAAAGGATATTTTCCTGTAAAAATAATTGTTTCATCCTTTTTAGAATTTTTGAAATTTTGTTTAAAATTTTCTGGCTTCAACGTGAGACCATAAATTTATGTGGGAAGTTTGAGTGTCTTTTTGATGTTAAAAATAAATTGATTTAGAAATTCTTGCAAATATCAGCTAATTGTTGTATTTTAAAGAAAGTTCCAGGACTTATACACAAATGAAATTAACTTTGAAATATTTCTGTTTTAGAAAATCTTGGTAAGAACATTTTTGTTACATTTGTTACCCAACTCCCTTGTTTAATTTTAAGAAATTTCTAGAAATTGTTTTTGTAACGCTAAAACTTTTAAAATTAATTTATGGCAGTCAAGTGAGCCGCTTGGTGTTTATCACAGTGTCCATATATATATATATATATATATATACACACATATATATATACATATGAAATGGACAAAGTCCGACAATTATTTTAAGACATTTTTATAACTTCTTTTTATAGATACAAATATTTAAGTAAATGCTCTGTTTTATAATAAACAGTATTAATAACATTTACCGGCTTTGAATGTCCGAGAAATTGTTATAGAAAATATTCGTCCTCCGACAGGAATCGAACCTGTATCCTATAAGAAACCGCCATATAGCCTGACGTTTTTTACTGATTTCGCCACAAAGGAGCGTTTCGGTTAGCAAGGTCGATTTTACTATTTTTAAACTACAATTTTCCATGATTTTCTCATCTACATTCATATCTGCTCGATGCATATCCAAATGTAAACAAATGACGTCACACATTATGAAATGGACAAAACCCGACAATTATTTTAAGACATTTTTATGTTTATACATAAAATCATGGAAAATTGTAGTTTAAAAACAGTACAATCGACCTTGCTAACCGAAACGCTCTTCTGTGGCGAAATCGGTAAAAGCACGTCAGGCTATATGACGGTTTCATATAGGATACAAATTCGATTCCTGTCGGAGGACGCATATGATAAAAACATAGGTTTAAGGTATACTATATTTATGGGTTAAAGTGCTCAATATCAGGGATAGAGCATATGTAAATATAAAAGTGGACATTAAGGTTCACGCCTAACGTCGACAGCCTTAAATGAAGCTATTATATTTGTATTATCAACAAGTATGTTTCGTTGATAACACAAATATAATAACCCCATTCACATGTAAAAAATGGATAAAAAATAATGGAAGCATTTTTAATAAAAAAGAAAATGCCAACACTGAAGAATATCAGTTATGAACACGGTCAAAATGTGCTGACCGTGTTTGAAAAATAAAATATTGCTATAACTCTAGATACACGCATATAACAATTCAGTTAAAATTAGAAAATAAAATATGTCTTGATAATGGCTAAAAGTATAGCCGAAAGCACCCGGACATACAAAACATTCGGACAATTTCTACATAATTTTTATCAAGAATTTCCCCATAATTTATGCTAAGAAAAATTAGATAAAAAACTTAATCGGATTACTTTGTCTGTTGTTTTTAATGAAACTTAAAAAAAAAATAGGAGAAATTGCTACCGAAAATACACAATTTCGTCTTCGACGTATGAGAGAGGGTCAAGCAGTTCAGTTCTGAGAAGTAAGAGCCAGACTACCGGCACATATGATTTGATTATATTGGTCAAGTCTTATGCAGAACCAACTATACGTTTTAGAAGAGACGAATACAGAAAACTGCTGCGCAATATGCAACAAGGTCCCCAAACGACCCACTGCAAGTTTGAATTCAGAGTTGTCCTTCTCCCAGAGCGGTTGCCACCCAAGGCCATAGAACCCAGTATGTCCTGCTATGTACCCATAAAGAAGAGATGAATTCATTTTTCCCAAGTAAAATTCCGTAAGTGAATTCGAACTCGGCTCTCTGATTCCTCAATCCGAGCCACAATCCATTACTCCAAAATACATACACACACACACACACACACACACACACACACACACACACACACACACACACACACACACACACACACACACACACACGCACATTATATATGTGTGTGTACGTATGTATATATGTGTGTGTACGTATGTATGTGTGTGTATGTATGTTTGTGCGTATACTCACAGCTTTTAAAATGTGTATATTATTTCTGTATCAAAGAATTTTTGCGAGTTGAAGTAAAATGAAACAAATAATTTAGGTTTAAAAATAGCTTCGGATTTCTCTCAGAAAAATAATATTTTCTACCATTAAATTTGATATTTCCAACTGAAATTTACCAGAATAAATAAATAAATAAATCCAATTTTAATTTTTAAAATTTAACATCTCTCGTGAGAGTGAGCTGAATTTAAATTAAATGATTGCAAACACTAGCAGAATTGTTAAAATCGTTGCAGAAAAATGAAAAATCCTTAAAAAAAAAAAAAAAAAAAAAAAGGAAGAAAAGAAAGCCTTCGACATTATATATGCCAGAGTAATTTTTCCACATGTTACTTTTTTTGGTACTATTAAGATCAGAAAAAGAGAAATACTAATTTCGTAAAATACATCAATTGGATGCTTTAGTACATATCATCAGTGATGTTTCTAGTCGAGGTTCACTAGGTGTTTCGGGTCATTCAACATCATACCCCCTCTCCACGTTAACCCAGCCGATACTGATCGGGTATCGACTTGTGTACCTTCCGTAAAACTGTCTGTAGGTCTTGATATGGAACTTTAGTTTCTCGAAAATAGAAGCAAACGATCTTAATGCTACAGATCCAATTTTTGCAAAGAATTTATGTGCTGAGGATTTCTTTCTCTTGTTTTTATTGACTGAAACACAAAATATTCATTATTACAATGGTTTTAAATATATGCTTGTTTGCTTTTGTTCTAAATAAATATTATAAAAGACAAAATATTTTTTGTTTTTACATAGATTTTCGTTTTTGATGTCGTTTCTAAAATTCAAACAAATAATACGTTCTCCCACCGAGAGAAAAATGCCCTGTAATTACAATGAATACGAAGTCTGTTGAAAAATTCTCAGCCTGACCAATGAAGAATTTTGAAAAATTTCAGATGTTTGTTTATTTAGTTAGATTTTGGAATAGAATCGTCATTTTCACTCAAAGTAAAGAATAATTTTTTAGGAAAATTAAATGAAAATTATTTGTATATATTTTTCTCTTGGCAATTTCTGACCTTCGAAAAACAGCATTTAACAGAATAAGATACGCCATTCACGAAAAAGCTTGGAAATTTGAATTAAGTTCAGTCTAAATTAGCCAATTAAAAATATTGCCATTACTGATGAAAACTTGTGGCTATAAATAGCGATTTTAAACAAAAATGATATCAATTAGCTGGTTGGATAAAAAAGTTTTATGTTTTCTTAACAAAAACACAAAATAATAAACATCACCTACCCGGCGCCTAGGACAGAAGTTTAGAGTCGATTACTTTTCGAAACTCTATTTCTGTGCTACATTACGAATTCTAGTATTTATAAATTGGGACATGAATTTTGGGTCGATTAAGAGTTACTTCCCTTCGACTGTATATAAATTGTAAGATCCACTTAACTGTTCACAGGCATTGACTGATCGAAGAACATTTCTTTCAATGCAGTTACGTCACGTGACGCTGTTGTATTATTTTATTGGATCCTTCGCATTTTTTCATTATTGATTGCTAATACTTTGACCCCAAAAAAGTAATTAATAAAATGATTAGTTATAGCAATTATTAAATTAAAATACATATTTTCAAAAGCGTTACAAAATTTACTTATTTTTCAATTTAAATAAATTGTTTTGTTTTTAATTTTCGGATGAGATTCTGAATTTCAAAATTGTTCAAAAGCTCAATTTAATACCATAAAGTTCCAATGATCCACAATTTCTGAGTTTTATTATTTTTTGTAATTAGGATTCTCTTTCTCTCCCTCTATTTGTATAATGTTCTGTCAGGATGTTGGCGATCATGGCTCTCCACAACTGCCTATCTTTTGTTGCTCTTAGTCTTAATAAAATACGTGCTCATTTATGCTCACTTTTTACTTTGTCCCTCTACTCATTTGCTCAAACTTGTTAAGTAGGTTTTAGGCGACATTTCTTTGTTTATTTTGCCTTCGATATGCCCTGTGAGTGTTAAATTCTCTAAGCCTTCCTACCATATCACCAAAACTTCAGCATTCTCGATCTGATTGTTAAAACCAATTTTTTGTAGTTCCTATTCTGCTCGAAATGTCATCGTTTCTCATGTAATTTGTGCATGGTTTTCTCAACATTCATCAGTAGATTGATTTGTTTTTTACGGCCTATCAGCCCATTGTAGGTTATTTAAAGTCAGAAAATAGACCGTAGGAATGTTTTGAAATAATAACGATTTACCGATGCATAGCTGTGGGAGGGGAGAGATGGATTCATGCCTTTCCCCAGGGGTATTTGCGCATTAGTGAATATAACAATCCCGACTAGAATTGGAACTCGACTCTCTGGTTTCCAATTCCGAGCCGTTATCCATTACACCAGCCGCACATCCAAGCTTACAGCACCTGGTATTCCCAAGCGGTCACCCATCTATGTACTGACCAGACTCGACGTTGCTTAAATTCGGTGATCGTACGAGAACCGGTCTTCCTACGGGATATAACCGTAAACCTTCGTCACTAGAAACACACTCTCTGTCACTTCAAGTCTTTTCTTCAATTTGATGGAAACTGGCGAATATTCACTATCGAATATACGAAAGGAGACATTACGTGGCAGCCTTGCACTCTTTTCTCCTTTATAATTTGTAAAAGAAAAGAAAAAGAAAACAATACAAATTCATATTAATTTATTCTATAATTGTTAAAAGCATTATTGCTTATATACTAAAAGAAAGGTGCCATAAAATAGAAATAGGAGTCCTAAACCAGATAGTAAAATAGAGGTGTTAAAACACATGTTAAAATAGATGTAATTCTATATTCTATACTGATTCTATATTTTTAAGTAATTTTTATTTTCAAATAATGAACTTTTTATTTTTTTTTATTTATTTTTTATATGTTTTTTTTTTTTTTTTTTTAGATCAGTGTAACTCGGATATAAGAGAGTTGTCGGGACCGGAGAAGTCTCTTATATCCGGATTTCTCTTATATCAGGGTTTGGTCTATTTTGTTTAGGTAAGTATGGGCTCTAATTTGGGACCAGAGAAAATCTCTCTTATATCCGGGTTTCTCTTATATCCGGGTCTCTTATATCCGGGTTACACTGTATCATATCGTAAATATTTCTTGTTGTTTTTTTTCCACATTTTTTGTTGCTTTTCCTGTCTACTTATTTTCTGGAATGAGACCTGTAAATTTTTTCCGCCTATAAGACTAACTTATAAAATGTTTAAGAAGTTAATATTTCGAAAAAAAAACCAAAAAAACAACGTAAAAAAGTTAATATTCGAAAAAAAAAAAAAAAGCAACGTAAAATGAAGGTTTTGATTTGAAAATCGATGGCAGTAATGATATTTTAAAAATCGAAATCACCCCAAGCAATGCAGTAAAGCCACGAAGACACAAGGGATTTTTAACCAAAATTTCGAACGTGTTAGAAAATATTAAAAAATTTCAAAAAATAATTAAAAAATACTTTGATCTTTTATCTTAATAATAACATAAGCATTTTGACGATAAAACTTGACTTTCGTTAAGTTTGTGGCATTTTTCATTACGCTATGCCGTTTTCCCGCGAAAAAGTGGACGTGCCTAGGTTACTATGTGTGGAAGAATTAGAAAACAGAAACATTATTAAGGAGCAAGAACAATAGAAGAGTAATTAGGAAGACAGTAAAGAACGGTTGACATTGCATTTAAAATTTTGAAGATCAAAGTTGGCTGGAAAGCATGGAACCGGAAGAGAGTTCCACACTTGAGGAGTGCAGGGGAAAAAAAACCCCTGTTAGCATAGAATTTACGGTTACATGTAGCCAATTCAATTGTAAAATGAGACAAATGATACAGCTTAGCTCGATAGTATTATGATAAACTGAGGCTAAGACGACAAATTTAATTTGTTAATTTTGTTCCGTAAAAACAAATTAGAGCCCATACTTACCTAAACAAAATAGACTAAACCCGGATATAAGAGAAACCCGGATATAAGAGACTTCTTCTCCGGTCCCGACAACTCTCTTATATCCGGGTTACACTGTAGTATTAATCATGGAACTTTAAATAGATGGCTGGAATAGTTACCTATTTTCTAGAGGGCAAAATAAAGCACCAGCATTCTGAATAATTATAATTCAAAGTAGGAAGGCTTTCTTTTTTTATTTTTTTTTGAAGAATGGTGCTACACAATCACCCTGTTCTCATTTAACCACTAAGATTTGTAAATATCTGGAAATAGGGAGAAGAAATTTCCTCGAACGAGACTTTGCTGCGGGCGTGGTAGTACCTGTTAGGGTCCCAGCTGTGGGCAAATAGTTAACCACCAAATTGGGGTCAAAATACTATGAAAGTGTAAAAATAGGTTTCAATACCAGCAATACATTTTTGTAAAAAAAAGAAAAAAAAATATTACCAGCAATACATTATTACCTGCAATACATTTTTGGAAAAAAGATATTAGCAGCAATACATTTTTGAAAGAAATATTACCAGCAATAACCCATAGAGGTTGATATACCGTAAAACAAACCAAACCAAACCAAATTTTTCTGCTGGTTTGAATCAACTCACAACAAAGTAAAAGGCGAGAAAGGATTTTTTAAATATAAACATATAAAATATTTTTATTTTCGTCTTTTTACAACAAATTCTTTTCAGCGTGTATAAGTTCCTGCGTTAAATTTCCTTGTTTGTAGTTGTTTGTTAAGATGAAAAGAAGTATAATTTATTCGACAGCATGTGTGAGAAAAAAGTAGCAAGAGAGAAAATGAGGAGAAAAATTTTAAGTATCACGCAGCTTGGTGAGGAAGAATGTAAGTGTCATGTAGCTTGATGTGGAAGACGGGTGAATGAGTAAGGGATTCATTTTGAAACCAATGCGTCGTGAACTGCTGTCGAATGTTGTCGTCTCTATCTCCTTACTGGTTTTGTCCGTTTAAAGACTTTACTTAAATACTCTTCAAATGGATCACGAAGCATTTTTTTTTATCGGCGGCGGAACTTGACCTGTTGGTTAAAAAATGTTAAATATTTATTTCCAAAGGATTAAATTATCAACCAGAAGGATGCGCAAATCGTTCATCTTTTTGTCATTTGATGTTTGACCATCTTGGTGTTTATTTCCGTCTTCGTTCCACAACGTCAAAATTTCTCAGTTTATATCTGTTTATTTTTATTTTTTTAAATTATCATCTTGCAAACTCCATGATAAGAAAGGTGAATCGATGTCTTTACACGACGCACGCATCTTTTTTCTTGATCGTCTCCGTTGTCAGAGCCGTGGCTAGGGCCCAGAACGAACAAGCAGTTAATTTATGAAAATACAAATTACAATGTCTTTTTATTTTAATTTAATACTAAAAATTCTTTCTTCATTCTGCGACCTACGGTTAGATCCCCATCAGAAATTTATCAGTTTCCCTCGGTATTTTTTGCCGCTACAGATTTCTATTTAAAGTTAAAAAAAAAAAAGAATGCATTTAGGGATGAGTCCAAAGAAAACATTTCGTGACGGGGAAACAAAGCAAAAATTTCAGAGAGGGGCCAGAGTTTGACTGACAGGGCGTAATATTTACTTGAGTATTTGCTTATCGATTACTGTTTCGTTTTATGATCTTGAAAACCGTCTGAGTACCTAAAATGAAAATGCGAGACGGTTATGGGTACTAGGTTTTCCTAACCAGGGGACCGCTGACTTTGTGGATAGATTCCCAAACATGGATCCCGTAGACTCCTTTAGGGGCAGGGTCAACAGACTCACAAAGCGGAATAAAATCAGTTGGGTATTTTTGAGCGATAGAAATACATATGTAAAAGAATACCACTCAAGAATTTTATAGGCAGTACAAAATAACAGTCCAGTTAGAATTTTAAAGAGAAACTGAATTTTATTTTAAGAAAAACAATATAAAAAATATCTGTATCTTCAACGCATCTTGTACTTATTCAAAACCAACAATTTTACATATTCTTTGGAATAAAACATCAAAAAATGTCAAACGAAATTGGCAAAGCACCCAGAAAAAAAGAATACCAAAAAACAAATTTGTCTTAAAAAAGCAAAAATTACGCTTAATCTTTAAAAAGAATCACCGATTCTCAAAATGTGCGAGGAAAAAAAAAAGTCTCACGCCAATTAAAGATTCGGGACAATCCTAAGATAACCCCTGGTGTCGGAAGTGTACATCTCATTTCCAAGCAATGTGGAAGACTTGCTGCTACTAAACAGGGTAAAATCCTTGGCTTTGATCCTCACGTTTCTCTGTGAGTCATCGGGAAATACCAGGGAAAATACATTTTGAAATAGCACGAAGGAATATGATTTTTTCCAAGTGAGCATATGGGATCACACCATTTTGTTTGCCAGAGAACACGCTAGGTGGCGTTGTACAAAGTAGTATAAAAGGAAAGGGTACAGACATTCTCTTTCTTCTTTCGCTCTTCACCCACAGGATGTCATAGTGACAAGTCGTTCATCGTTTCCCTTACAGAGGACTTCATAGTTCTGGAACCATCTATTACACTGTATATTACACAATACTATCGCTACACTATCTACCGTTAAAAAAATATCATGCAGCCATAATAACATCACCACAATCTATCACATATATCCCACGCTCTCTATTCATTTTAATAAGAGATCCCAGACTAACAAACGATACTACATCAGTAGAAACTGGTTACTTCACTAAACAAACTTATTACCTAATTAGCAGTCATTTCCTCGCTCAAAGCAGAAGGTAAGTAGTTTGTTGAAGAATGGATTTTTCTCTCCTTTATTGAGCCTAATTCTGTATGTAAATATATAAAAAATCCATGTATGTGTTTAATTTATTTATTTTGAGATTCTTAAAATTTTCTCTCGAATTTTGTTCGGGGACTCACCGTTAAATTAAACGGGCCTCCATTAATTTTGAATCCCCTTCAAGCACAGGCTACTTCAATTGGAATTCGAACTCGGGTTGCCTATTTTATTCTATGCGTTGATACGCCTTCTTGTAACTCTTTCAAAGTAAAAAGAAAAGAAATTGCGAACATCTAATATATTCTATTGTGACAGAAAACGAACAACTTCATACAAGAGAGTGATTGAAATTGCAGTCGGGAAATTTGTTTTTGAATAACAAGAGAATACCAAAAAACAATACGTATTTTATTTTGACCGGTTGAAGGAAATAAAAGGATTTTAAAATGACAATAAAAATAAAAAAAGCTCAAACCAAAAATAAAATATATAGGGTTGGTCAAAAGGTTATTAAGTAATTTTTCTATTTAATAAAGCGAACAAACATTTTGGCCAACCCAGAAAAAATGAAATAAAAACAAAACAATACTTATTATATTTTGACTGGTTGGTAAAAAATAAAACAGATTTTGTTTTCTACAAGATCATCAAGTAAAGAATGGATGATGATGATGATGATGATAAAACTATAATAATAATAATGATAATAATAATAATAATAATAATAATAACAGCAACAACAACAATAATAATAATAAATA